TACTCTTGCAGGACTTAACCATTAAAACTCCAAAGGAGATATCTTAGAATCATAGAATCTTTTAGGTTGGAAAGGACCTTTAAGATCATTGAGTCCAACCATAAACCTAGCATGGCCAAGACCACCACTAAACCATGTCTCTAAGCAATCTTAATTTGCTAACCCACAGAATCTGAAGAAACTTCAATTTTTTGTTGCAAGATATTCAACTTTTACCAATATTCAGAATAATCTTTTTTAATTACATTTGACTGGGGGACTGTAATTTTTCCTTTCCTGGGTGAATCATACTATCATGGTTTCTGCCTTTGTGACCTCCAGAATATAAGCACATATTGCACAGTACTTGGGGCTACATGTTAAATTAATTCAGAAAATGAAGGTAATGCACCAATAGGTTGTTGTTTCTCTCCTGTACTGGTGAGTAATAAGACCCAGGGATAATCCATAGAATAAGCAAACTGTTCAATCAAACAACATTGCTGATAAATCATTTCCACAAAATTGCACTTTCAATGTAATTTGCAACACAAGGCACATTCACATGATAGGGCTAAAAGGCTTGTAGTCATATGAAATCTCTTTCTTTTAAAACCAGGCAGTTGTTTGGTTTTGTCTAGGATCTACAGTGGAAGATCACTGTTGTCGGTCCTGTCATTGGCCATTTTAGGTTAGGTCATCTGTTTTTACTATTTTCAAACAGAGATGTCATGCTTACCGTATGGAGTTATTGTGCATCACTCCTATTTCATAGGGTTAGAAGTTGGTCTTTGAAAATGCCTCAAGTATCATGAAAGTGTGAAAGTTAAGGGCAAAACTTACTCTACACAGATAACAAGAGGATGCAGGGGGCATTCTCTCCTTCCCAAGGGAATGAAAGCAAATTTAACTGAATTATTCTGCATGCTTTTTCTCTACATGTGTAAGCGCAAAGACTTGCTATGAATATAAGAAAAACTGAATTTTCCCATGTTCCCAATAGCATGAAAATAAGTTTTCAGAAAACATCTAGCACTCTCAGCTGCTGACATGTTTAGAACGAGTTCAATAAAGCTTGTGCCCAGAGAAGCCTCACAGCCTCTGTGTGAGACAAAATTCAGACAGGTCATACGGCATAACCAGTAGCTTAGATGTTTCTGTGGTAAACCACTGTGTTCTTCTAAGAGCTGCTGCATTCGGCCACTTCGTTAATGTTCCCAGCTGTTTACTTGTTCCCAAGTGTGAAATCAAATGTCAGGAGAGCCAGGCTGGGCTGCAGTGCGACTCACCACCCATCGCCGTATTCCTTTGAAGGAAGGGTCTGGCAAGCAGCATTATGTGGGATCATACCTTAAATATGCACACGTAAATACACAGACCTCAGTCCTGAGGAGTAATTTATGTGAGATGACTCCTTGCTTGTTCCCAGGACAGTAAGAAAAGCAAGCATACAGGTAGTAGGAGAAAGTGTTATTGCATGGTAAGTCAGTCTTCCCCTTCATCTGCTCTCAATGCCATCTGGATTCTGTAGGGTCCGGCAAATATCCTGCATCCTGTTCTGGTCTCAATGCTACGGTAAATTGAGACCATCTCTGCAGAGGTCACTGGAGAAGCCTTAGCACATAACCATTCAGACTTCTGGAACTTCAGATCCCATTTTATTTATTCGAATTCGTATGTTTAGAATGAGGTTCTTTGGAATGTGCTACATTAAGAATAAACATTTTCTGTCCTACTGTATAGCACCAGTTTACCTGGAGATGAAAGCCTGCTTCTTATACCTATACTTAGAAGCCATTCTGCAGTGACTTCCCTTATACACTGAGGAAGTTGAGTTGGAGTAATTCCAGTTACAGTGGGTGATATGATGCAACCTTATTGCAACTCATCTGCAGCAATAACACATATTGCAGCAGAAATGTAAAGAAACAGAAATAGATTTTGGTTTCCTAGAATTTGTATTTGAACTCTGAGCATGCATATGATTCTGTGACAAAAGCCATTAAATTATATTAATGCTAGATATGTGAGAACTGATATCAAGTGAATGTAACCTTTATCTGGATGTTGAATTTCCATTTCTTTTGCCATTTCAGCAGTCACTCTGAGTCCTTGTGAACACTTAAGTACGTTCAAGCACGATTCATGAGTCCCTTTCTGTGCCTCCGCTTGGGCTAGAAAGGCTGCAAACTGGGAGTGACACAATGGCTCCTGGGCTTCCCTCAGGCTCCTGCCATCTCTTCCTTGCCTCTGCATGAGACCCCACATATTTGGACACACAAGGTGTCTCAGATGCGCTACTCCTATAACACAGATGTGGGCAGTACATGGATGGGGGGACTCAGTTCTCTCTAGCAAGGAAACCTTTAGTGTAGTGTGCTGGTAGGAGATGCTCTGGATGCTGCATAGCTCTGCCACATCTCCCCACTGTGACACCAGTATGTGCTGCCTGTGATCCATCAGTTTGGGACCTGGGACCAGGGGTCTGGCTTTGAGAGGCAGGTGCTGTGGCAGGGAACTAAGCTGGAGACAAATGAGCAAGTGCCACAGGTGCCTGATAATTCAGTGTGCTTCTTGAAGGTCCTTATGACTGTTACCTCTCAGGAAGCGGGGGACAGAAGAGGAAGGAGAAGTCACCTCAAGCCAGTGGGAAGGGGCCATGCAAGAGCAACAATGTGAGCTTGTTCTTCTGTGAAGTCTTTTGTAATCTGAAAAACATAAATAGTAAGTTTACAATCTCACTTCTCCCTGTTTGCAAGTAAGTCTGTTGCTTAAATACCCTGCAGAAAGTGAATGCAACATTTGTGTAAACAACAGTATTTTAAAATACGAGCTAAAAATCTAGGAAGCCTTTGTACACCCACCTTTGCTATCCCTCTTTCAGCTACTCTGAGGCCCTTTCATAAAGTTCTCTTTTTACTTTTAAAAAAAGCATGTATTGTTACCATGTTTGTGCTCTGGTATTTTTGCTCTGCCTCATAGGGAATGGCTGTTTTTATGCTAACCCTTCCGCTCAGTGTCTGATCCTACAGTTTTCTTCCTGACTGAAGCTCTCTGATGTTATATGAGCAAATATCTTGCAATTACATTTCACAATAATTGCAAAGACAGTGTAATAAACCACAGCAGAACTAGTTCCGGTGACAGTGGAGAATGATGAAAAATGCTGTAAGAAAGCAAGCTATAAGAAGCTAGTTTTCAGAGACAGAAAAAGAAAAAACAGAGTGCAAAGGTGCACTGAACAGTTCAGAGCTGGAGGGATTTCTGATTTTGCTAAAAGCAACAGTAGCACTGACGCCTTGCTCTTTGCAAAGAGCAAATTCTTTCCATTTTTTCCTCTCTATATATTAGACATACAAACATTTTAAAGCAAGATCAGACTTTCTTATTTCTCTATATTATTGTAGGGGATATTTCTTACTGGTTCAAATGCAGTCATTTCTTTCCAGATGCAAGACGAAAAGCCTCCACCCCCAGTTTTGAGTAGGAATAGCTTCCTCAGGAGCAGGTCAGATGCCTGGGTAAATATTCCAGGCAGTTCTTTTAGAATGACATTGTAGTTGTGATACAGGTGGCAACTGCAGGAGCACTGAAGGTGCTTGCACTCAGTATTCTTGCAAGTAGATTTCCTTATGGGTGAAAACCTTGAAGATTTTTTTTTAGTGATGCATTATTGCTATTTAGAAGATTACTTACTTTCATGGGAAAAATTGTGCAAAGTGGTCTGCATAGGTGACGGCTGATATTTATGGAACAACATCAAATACTAGAGCAGGAACTCAGATCCAAATTCCTTTGATTTTCAGAAATATTCCAATCCTTTTTCTAATCTGTGTGTTTTTTAATTGTCTCTAGAAAATACCAAAAGCATTATTTGAGCATAAGGTAGTTTCTTAAATAGCTACCACAATCTTTTTCTGAGGAATTTGCCCCCGAGAAAGTTTCTACATATAATGAGGGGTGCCTGTATAGCCCACACAGATTTGCAAATTGGAAGAAGTGTTTTGCATGTGATAACTACGCAGTAGTACAGAAGACAATCTGGAATAGTTCAGCCACCATCCCTCACTATTTTGCAATTAATTACCTTAGTTTAGGTGCCAAACATAGAAAATTGTTATCCTTCTGAACTGCCATTTCCCATTACTATTTGGCAGCCTTTATTTCATTATATGCTGTAAAAAAACTCTCTACAAACTCTGCTAAAGAAACTCAATTATCTTAGAAAAGTAGCTAAAGCATGTGAGGGTTAAATGAAACTTTTTTCCCATAAATGTCATTTGACCGACTTAGAATTCTTTAATAGATACTGAACCGCACAGAACTGAAAGTATTTTTAATTTCAGTGCTTTGTATATTTACAGAGGGATTACAACAAACTTCTACACTTTATCTACATTTTAATAGGTCAGTGTGAACATATGAAGTGTATTAAGGTGGACTGCCTTACTTATTAAACTTACGTGAATTTGTCAAAAGCCCTTAGCAGTTGCATGCAATAGGGGCTGGAAAGCCATGCATGATTGAGGTCATGCATCCAGCCAGTTTGTAAGATGATCCCTCTGCACCGAGCCATCAGCCATCCTTAGCATAGGGGCGCACTCATACACGCATTCCTGTCAAGTCATCTTGTGAAAGGCTGCTTGCTTCCAGCTTGGCTTGAAAGTGCAACCTTAATAAAACTCACTGAAGTCTGAGGGAAAATAGCAGTTCTGCAGCAGATAGTGTAGGGGAAAGAGACTGGGATATGCATATGCAGCTGACTAAAGCAGGCTACATGCTGGACTGTAACAGAGAGGAAACAATAAATCTTAACTACTATGCAATAAATATTCCCAATTTTAACTAAGGAAGCTATCCTCACAGTGAAATTAAAAAAAAATAACAGTTTATCCAAGCTTGATTACTAAAGTGCTCTTCTCCAGTCCTTTTTCCAAAGACTTTAAGGGGAATTAAGAACAAATTTAAAGAGAGAGGAAGAAAAACTTTTTCTTAAAGTAGGAAAGGAAAGTAATAATAACATGTCAGTTTTCCTTTCCTTTGCTTTCCTGGCAATGATCCTTGCTCATATAGGCTGTAATAACCAGCGTCGCGGTCCAGAAGCCAGTGGGAGAAGATTTAACCGGATTCAGCATGGGCAGTGCACCTATACTTTCATTCTGCCAGAACAGGACGGGAACTGTCGTGAAAGCACGACACACCAGTACAACACAAACGCTCTTCAGAGAGATGCTCCTCACGTGGAACAGGATTTCTCTTCCCAGAAACTGCAACATCTGGAACATGTGATGGAAAATTACACTCAGTGGCTGCAAAAAGTAAGTGTTTCTTTTTTCCATTTCTCACTAAATGGATTTTTTTGGTGATGCTTATGCTGTTCAAAGTTTTCATTAGTTTCTATGAGAGCTGAGGTAATAAGGATTGATGTAGTTCGTGGCTGTGTAGTGGAGAAATGTTTCAGCCAGAGTGCACCCTTCTTAGTGACATTGCTCTTGGGAGCAGAATTTTCTTCACATTACTGAAAGATGCAACTTCTTAAAGCTGTATCTTAAGAGACCACGGATGTTTCTGAGCCAGAGAACACAAAAATCCTCCTGAGACTCTGATGACAGAACTTAGTAAGTATTCCTATAAACTCTTCTTAGAGTTCACAGCTTCAGATCAGATACCATGCAGGATACCTGCTACTCTGACAGTAAAAGGGAGCAATTAAAAAACCAATCATTTAAAGTCACTAGGTTAAGAATATCATTGTTCCTCCATAAATAGATCCTGTAATACTATTCTACCCAGTTAATTGCTGGAAAGAGAGAAGAAAGCATATAGGCATTCACACTCCTAAACCATTGCAGTAAAATTTTTTAACTGTGTAGGTTACACTGGACTTGAAAGAGCCTGTTTTGATTTATGTGTGTGTGTATCTGCATTCTTTCATCAAAAGGGGAAAATGGGTTTGAAGGTGTTGCAGTAACTTAGCAGAAGTAATTATTTTTAAGAATTTGAGCAATAGCTCTAAACTTCTAATGAACATTTCAGTATTTTATGCATGAGCTGAAGTTGGGCCTGGAAAGACTTAAATATGTGAATAATTTCACTTATATGAGCAATCCCATTCACCTTAACAGGATTACTCACTTATGTAAAATTATATACCTTGCAGAATCTTATCTGTGCTTGGCAATGAAAATGCCTTGGGATATCTGACCAGCAAAAATAAATAAACAAACAGTCTTTATATATAGTTATTTGTAATATTCCTATTCTCACACTGGCATTTTGATCTGGCAGAACTTAGAAAATTGAGCAATTGAGTGACACAACTGGTCATGTAAGATGGCACAAGGAAACTGCTGTATGTACCCATTTGAGGGACAGATGATTTAACTCTAACACAAGTTCATATTAAGAATGAACATCAATAAAAATCTAGTGAAGACTCTACTTGGTGGGCTAGAGCTTCATATTAGCATAGTTACTGTTACCTATCACGTTTACAAATTTTGTGTCATCCAGACAGCGTACAAGACAGAAATATGTTAAAAAGCATATACAGCTGTCCCCATCCCTCTAACCCTACTAAAGTCTTCAGAGAGGATGTCCTGATCTCTTGGTAAATTAATTGTGCTCTTGGCTCTAGCAAGAGAGAAAAGACTCTGTCCAGTAAACATGTGAATATAAAACAAAACATAACCAAGCATTTCTTTTTTTAGACTACTTTCCTCATTTTTTAATATCTTGGTCTGCTTTGGGGAATATAAGGCTGGAAATAAGGGGATGTCTTTTGTAGAGGACAGCATTTCTTAAGAAATTATTTTACGGTACCTTGGGAGGTTGAGGCAAGACTAAAAAGAGGAAAGTTGTTATCTGTGTTTATGCATACATGATTTTACTTGAGCAAATTGCCTGCTGAATCTTGCTTGTAAGACTTTACTTATTCTGTGTTTGTCCACTAGAGACTGAACTAAGATCACTGTTTCACTGTGAACTGAACATCAAGAAATATGAGTCTCTGGAGGGTGAATGTCTGAGTTAGGGTTAGTCCTCTCACACTTCGGAGGGAAGTGATTAACCAGGTAGGAAGCCCAATGAAAGAGGTTTATATTTGAGGACTGTTTTCTTCTGTAGTGATTGTAAAACTGGCTATGGGCAGAACTATCCCCCTCCTCCTTTCCTTCCCAGCCCCCAACACTCTGCTCCCAGGGGTTTACATAAAACTGGGATTGTGCACGTATCCCCATGTGTCAGTTTTCCCTGGAATGAAAGGACCCGTTTCTCTGTGCAATGGAGTATGGCTCACTCTGAACAAGTGAGGCTGATGCAGCTCCTTTATAACATCTCTGAATACTGAATTTGCTTTGTTGCTGTTGCCATTACAAAGCATCTCAGCCATAACTCATTTCCTTTCAAAACAAGCATAATGCTTAAGTGTCATGAATATATTATGTAGATATCGTGCATCTCATTTTTATACTCTGCATTTATTTTTCCTCCTAAATTTTTAATATCAGATATAACTGCTGCTACACTAAACAGCATTTTAGAATGCACCTGCTGTGAACAAAGTAAAGAACAATTAATGGTTATAGGTTTATGACTGGAAGTGAATACTTATAATAAGAAATAATGTTTCAGAATTTGAGATATATTCTGACTTACATAAGGGAAATACGTTTATTACTTCAGGTAATACATATAATTTTCATTAAAATTGTACACAGGCAATGTTTGGCAGAGCGAATTATTTTCTCAGCACAAATGCTAGCCTGCAATATTGCAAGGATATTTATTAAGAAAGTTTGTAAGAATCATGGTTCACTTAACTCTGTAGTATTTTAATTTTAAAATATTTTTCTTTGACATCTAAACTAGCAGATTTCTAGAAGCAAAACAAGTATCCTTTTTTTTTAAAAAAGGCAATTTTTTAATGCTTAGAACCAAAAGTGCTTCTTTGATGACCTACAAGCTTGATTGTAGATAAAAATGTACTTGCTTGGGGAGCAAATTACAGGCAATTAAGTCCCAGCTTTGTCCATTAGCATTTGCATATCTATAGTCAGCGTAACTGGGATTGGTTGGCAAACCAGGGACACGGCAAAATACTCTGCACAGAAACTTCTTGGAAGAAGATGACTTGGTAAACATTTTTAGAGATTTTCCTAGAACTGTTTATTTTAATACCGGATAACTTTCCCTATTGTTTAAGCTTGAGTTTCATTTCTGCAATATGTTTATACTAATAGTTCAAAACAAACAGTTCATCACATTTTCTGTTTTGCAGTAACTGGCTGGCACATGTGATACTGTTTGGTATTTAGCTGCAGCGCCTAAGTATTGCCAAAGAGGAGTTACATGAAATTTTATCACCATGTCTTGCTTGGGAACTTTCTGTTAGTCAGCTTGCTGAACTTAACGGTATGGATGAACTCAGTATACATTCAGGATAGCTATATAGATGAGTGTTTCATATACTTAGCTCTCAGTCCAAATAGAAGTAATAACTGTTATTACAGTAATAAGTGAGTTTTACATGATCCACTCTTTCTTTTTTTCTGACCATTATCTAAGTAGAATATCATAAAAGTTGAAAATGAATGCTTAATAACGGTGTAATATAAGAAGCTAACATGGACTTACAAGTTTGAGTTGAAAGTGAACTACAACCATTCTGGTCAGCCAGTATCCAAACTATATATATTTTTTTCTTTTCTCTGCAAATATTGATGGCATCACTACACTTAAACCAAACAAAGAAGCTTCAACTCATTTTGCTTTCTCTTCAAAGTGCCTGTGCTGTCACCAGCTATAACAGAAGAAGCATAAAATTTTGAACTGGATTCAGTCATTAAAGAAAGAAATTCAGAGCAATTTTTATGGGGTATCTGTAGTCATTTGATAGTCTACTTTAAAATTTATTTTTACCATGGTTTTGAGAAATTATTTGTCTATGGCATCCTCTGTGCTCTCTTTTGACTTCCTTATTTTGCAGAGATAACATCACAAGTGCTCACTTGGGTTTGTAAACATGTAAGGAATGTAGATTTTGAGGGAGTTCAGTCATTGTATAGAAGAAACTGGCTTTTGGAAAGACAGGTGTCTGTCACTGTTTGCTGTTACTCCATTGAAAGTCTTCCCCTCTCTGCCGTCTTTACTAGCAGAACCTAGCACCGCAATGAAATAGTAATAATATGCTTATGTGTGTGGAGTGGCTGGATTTTACCTTGGATTTTATATGGTTTGCTGAAGATGGGAAAATTCCTTACATGTCACTCTTGCTGTAAAGCTGTGTGAAAATGTGACAGAGCCCGCCCTGAAGAGGACAGATCTAAAGGGTTGTCATAATATCCTATGAGGCAAATTTATAGTAATGTAAAGATGGAGGTGGCCATAATGTGTGTAAAATTTTGTCACATTAAGAAACCAATTTCCCCTAGTTGAAATACTACGTGAAATAGTAAAAATCCTATTTTATTTATGGTTATGTCTCACTGGGTATTTTGTAATTCAACATGTGACCTTAAAGTCCACATAATATTTGGATGTTAAGTGTAACCAGGAGATCCTGTTAATTTTCCCAAGTAAAAGCAGGTCATTAGATTTGGAATCTGCCATTCTGCTTGTATGAACATTATTAACAGGGCTGTGTAAGGAACAGCTTTCCAGTAAATCTTTCCTTTTTCAAGACTGACCAGGGCTAAAAGGAAACAGTGAGAAAGCTTCATTCAAAACTGATCAGTAGTCTCCTATTTGCTATTCAACTTGAACCTGGACTTCTTGTCTAGACTCAGATGCTGTTTACTACTCTAGGTGCTCCTTTTGGCTTTGGAGGCAATGCATTCTCATATCCAAAGCAGAGCCTCATCCTAGTGACATCTGAACCGCAGTTCCCACAAACAATCTGTGAAACAAATGGTGGGATTCAAATTAATTAGATTACTTATGTAGTATGTACTACTCAACTGGTAAGTGTATATAAAAGCCAAATTTAAGGAGCAAAAATAAATTTATGGAAAGAAACCTCTTGAAAGAAAATTCATGTTTGAGTGTAAAACCAAAATTGCTTATTTACATCCAAAAAATCTCTAAGCCAATAATATGCCTGCGTTTCAAAGCTTTAGTAATCAAATTGCTGAAGTCCTTGGGGTATTCTGAGGTACGCACAAAAAAGAGACAAGACTTCAAATGTGGAAATGCCAGAAAGCTTTACATTATTGGGGGATAACCTATTTGTCAATGTTTCTTTAAGAAGCAGAAGAATCAGAGAAGTAGACTGAAGGGCAGTCTTGCAAGTTGCCACATTTGGTAGCAAATTACTTAAAAA